TTTTAGTTGAGGAAATAACTTCAGGAGTGATTACAGATTACTGACTGAACGTGGCTGTTGTCATCCCTCCCATATTTTCATTATGAACACCATTAAGTGAGAAATACTGTTTGTTTAGTGTCATCTAAGATTATGAGGAGTACAGCCTTCCACTATTTTTCAAACCTTGTCAGCAGGTGCAGGGTTTTTCTGTATTTTTTGGTTATCTTTTCTCCTGCAAATTTGTGCCATTTCAACCCCCTGTTCATTCCTATTTTGAGCATTCACACTTTCCTTCCTTGTGTCTGAGTGCTGGTCTGGAGTTTACCAACACTGTCGCTGTCCTGTGTTTTATTAGTGCTCTGGTGTGCTAGCTGTTTTCTGAGGAGGCCCAGCTCTTTAAAACAAATTCCTTCCAACTAATGAATTCCATGAGTTCAAGAGTTGCTGGTGCCTATTTTTATACAAAAGACACCAGCTGAATCATTACCCTCTGACGTGGAAATTCCTGACCTGAAGTGGAATTAAAAGTGATAAAAGAAGTGTATTTCCAGGACTGTTGGCTGAAAGAGAACAGACAGCAAAGCTGGTTCAAAGAAACTAGAGGCTACTCCAGCTGCAAAGAGCCAAGATTGTGACCTCCAAAGAGTGGAGAGCTCATGACCTGATGACCTCTGGAGCAGCACTTTTCAGCACAGCTCAGGGCTCCAGGAAAAGTGTAACAAGAGCCGGTCCAGGCTCCCGTGATGTGCAGAGCTGGGACCCTATGCAGACAGTATAATCTGGAAGTAAGTGGAGAAGGACAAAAGGGAAAAGACGTTGAGGTTCAGGACGGGATGACAGACGCGGGGGCGTGACGACAGTGATACAGTGCTCGGGGGGGCATGGCGCAGGCATACAAGTCCAAACAGTCCAAGGGGGAATCCAGGGCACAGTCCAGGGTCCAGGTACTGAGAGAACAATCCGAGACAGACGAAGGTTAAAATCCGGAACGGGATCCGGAACAGGAACAAGGAGTTAAAACCAGGGGAATGAGGCCAGGCGCTCTGAGCCCCAGTCTCAGATGTTCAGGACACCGTGATGAAGCCTATGCCGTCGGGTCTCTCCTGGACCCGCTGGTAGGCGGGATTCTGAGTGTCCGTCTCCCAATGCTGAACCAGGGGCAGCGGGAGCACCAGGCTTAAATAAAAGCCAGCAAAACAGGGAGCAGGTGCACATAATAAACTAAAATATGAAAGGGTCGGAGCACCCTTAAGAGAAGGGATGACAATCGGGACAAAAAGCTACCTGAAGGAGAAGGACGCTGCACACATTACTAGGACAGGCCCTGCTTCCTCCATCACACACTGCATCATCCTGTCCATCAGGAGATCCTCCAGATTCATTCCCAAAGCTGACCCCAAGTTTGGGAATCTCTCACCAACAGGAGGCCAAGGTCAACTCTGTAGTTCAGCCGCAAAAAAATCAAAGGTTCGGAATCTCCTTTCAGAGGATCTCAGCTCTAGACAGAAACCCGTGAGCCTTGCTTATCCAGCCGAGCACCGCACCTGCTGTTGTGTAGACAAAGGCATGACACATAAAACCTACTGACACAGACTGAACTGGTTTATTTTCTACAGACACACAGAAACTTGTCGTAGGCCGGCACGTACAGCAATATCCAGTCTCCTCAAGCATGTCCTGTTGGGAACTTGAGCTCTGCGGGGTCGCTGAACATAACATTCAGGCATCACACCTGCTCCATGGAAACAACCTGAAAAGGGAATATTTATCCCATAATTTATTAGGATTCATAGAAGCACAACAGACTAACGATTCCCAACATTAAAAGAGGAGGCCATTTGGTCCACCAGGTGATAGATACAGAATCCAAGGATCTCATCTGTTTGTTTTTTTCTTAAGAGCATCCAGGGAGTTGGAAGTCCATGATTAAGAAGAACGTGGCGGTTGTTGAACATTTTTGTTTTGTAAACTACAAAATCCTTTTCAATGCATTTTATAATTTGACAAAAGATAAAAGAGAAACTACTAATGGGATGGCATATTTTATAGAGAGAAAGATATGACACATTTTCCATTTTCTTTATGTTTGCCCCATTAATATTGTGTATTTCTTGAGATTTGGATTCTGCGAGATGAAACAGCACCCCCTTGTGGAAATGTGCTGATCGCCAAGTTGTTTCGGTGTAGCGGAAGAATGTACAAGACATTGTTAAACCGGAACTTTTTTTGGATTGAAAATGAGGTTCCTCGTCTTCCAGTTTCACACTCTGTATAAGTTAGCTGTTGCTTCATCTCAAGGTTTTGTTGACAACTATTTTTTGGTATAGGTTTTCACATCAACTGATTTAAACTAGTGACAACCTGGACATTTCGCCTGCTGCGCGACCGTGTTTCAAAGTCTGGCAGAAATCGTGAAGGAAAGAACGGCAAAGCTTTGGAGACAAAACCATTGTCGATTCTAGTTATTATCGTCCTTGATTTGTTTTTAAGTTCATCATACGATAGTACGGGACTCGGAAACATAATGGATTTCTTAAGGAGTGTAGCAAGATGATCGAAAGGATCCTTAAGGCTTTTGGCCCATATTAGTTCCTAGTTATCGGAAATATTCGTTATTTAAACTGTTCTGGGGGGCGCAGGCCTGTGCCCTCAGCTCTGAGCTGTTTTGCATTCCCAAAAAGAAGAAAAGATGCAAACGAGATGAGGCCATTTCAACCATCTATCCCGTTAGGTTAAACCAATTGAGGGTCCCATCCAGCCATTTCTTTAAAGTTAAATGAGAAGACTAAAGATTGTGCATATCTGTTTAAGAATAATGTCCGCTGTACTCCATTCTGTATAAGAGACTTAAAAGATTCAGCTCCGTGAAGTTGCCCCCCCTACAAACAGCACAAACGATGACCCCCCCTCATTCGTTAGTGCTGCGTTTGTGCCGGTTTGTGCCGTTGAAGGTAGCGTTTGTGCAGCTTTCGTTTCCGAAATATAGCGTCTTGTTTTTTCGGGGTCGTGACGTCACTCAGCCCCCCTACAACGTCATAGGAGAGCCGGACCGGTCTCATTCGTTAGTGCCGGTTTGTGCCGTTGAAAGTGGCGTTTTTGCTGCTTTCGTTTCCGAGATATAGCGCCTTCTTGCAATGTTATGACCCAGGACATGATTGCTTGCCCAGCTCGATGAAGTTGCCCCCCCACAACAAACAACACATTTGCACACTCCAAAAGACACAACTTCACATGGGAGAAATACAGTATGACGATCTAACAAAGGCACTCATACCTGCGTCTTCAGAGGTCGAGGTGTGCCCTGACGCTGTATTCTACACCAAGGACTGACCAGAAACACAAAGATAAAAGGACTGTGAGCTCATCGTTTTATGTTTAAGAAGATTTTAAAAAAGGACACCGCTACGAAGAATTAAGACGTGCTCGTTAAAGCCTCTTGTTAAGAACATGCAATTGTTTGCTAGTGTTTAAGACTACACCCGCAACTCTTCTGATTAGGGTAGGACATTCGTCACGAATTTCATTTTCCTGCTCACACAAACGCACAGAAGATACTAGTATTTAATGCAAAATCCACTGCCGCCTCCACCTGGTCAACCAGAGAAACAAAAATGCATGATTGTTACTCTCGCACTCGTAACAGAGCGCTTGAACTCGGCAGACGGGGTTACTGGAGGTCAAGGTCGCCGTGCATGGTCACGTGATCACCCGAAAAAGAAGGCGCTATATCTAGGAAATGAAACTAGTAGAAAAGCTACTTTCAACGGCACACACCAGCACAAACGCAGCACTAACGAATGAAACTGGTCCGGTTCCCCCTACGACTTTGTAGGTTAGCCGAGAGACATCATGACCCCAAAAAGACAAGGCGCTATATCTCGGAAACGAAAGCAGCACAGATGCTACTTTCAACGGCAAAAACCGGCACAAACGCAGCACTAACGAATGAGGGGGTTTCATCGTTTGTGCTGTTTGTAGGGAGCAACTTCACGGAGCTAAAATAGTTATTTAAGACCGCGTAAGAGAATCCTTTGAGTCTGGGAATATATCCGGTTTGTCTTATTCGATTACTGTTCAGACCTTAAATACCGGTCGAATTATTTTATTTTAAATGAATTAAGTAGACGTTCCTCATCAAGATATTGAAGAGATGGATCATGGGACGGTATACCTCTTTGAATTTAAGCATTAAAATAACTATAACAGAGGCAACATGCATTTTACGCTTTCCTGACCTTTTCAAGTAAGGAACATGTTTTTGTATAAGTGTGGTGATAGCTACTTAAATAACAAGGACACGTCTGAGATAATGTATTCCTTATTGTACACGTTTTATTGATCTTTCTGTAAAAGTACAAAAGTAAAACCACACAGCATCTCTCCTACAAAGGAACAAGTGAAGGTTTTATTCCAACATGGAATAAACCTTTACTTGTTCCTTGGCAGCCTACAGATGCTGACGCAGCTACCTACTTGAACTGTCTCTCTTACAATTCGAGCCCGTATTATTTAAAATTTTGTGCTGATTTACTGCAATTTCACATAGGACTCAGATTAACAACCCGTGGTTTCACAAACCCTGTGGAGCGCCGATCTACCAGCACTATTTCAGGTAAACTCGTCTAGGACAACTGTGAAAGTCAGTCCCTTCGGCTTTTTTTTTGTTGATTTTTTTCCTCGCATTCTGAAAATGTCTAACATGGAACTTTCAAAACAAACAAATGTACGCACGTAAGACGTAGAAATATTAAATGACCGTTTCACCCACAACAGTTTAAATTATAGTTTAGGCTTCGTCGAGCCGATTATTTAATACAAGATCTTCTCTATGCAATTAAAAAACACGTTATTACAACTGAGTCTATTAGTCCTTTGCGCTCTCGGTGCTCTCAGCGCTGTGTGAGATCGGAGCCCGCCGGGGGAGGGCGAGTAGCGGGCGAGACAGCAGGAGAAGCGCTCTGGAATGTGCCCATGCTACTCACACGTGACCTTGGACCGAGCGCAGAACACAAGATTACACACACTGATGAGGCGGGGGATACTGTTAAAGACACTTCAAAACTAGTACAATCTGACACTCCATTCCCTGTGACTCTACCGAGACGAAAGGAATTCGAGGGGTTCTTATTTATGCCAGCATCATTAGCTGTGGCCCATGTCTTGTAAAGGTACGTTAGGGGAGCCCAGGTGGCACCTGACTTCCCCACAGTGAGAAATGCGTCTCACCTGGAAACGGAGAAACTTGCGCCCTGCCTGGAGCCTCACTGTCGAGCTGGGAGACCGGATGAGCCAGTGGTGTACGGTTCGCAGCTGGGATATTGAATTATTATTCCGTTTTGGGATTGTATTCAGCAGCCCAAGAGGACTCGAAGGGGTGTGAAAGAATACGAGAGGACGTTGATTTTAAAAAAGAAGATTATTTTTATTTTACATTTGGAACTATGCAAAACAAGAAGTCTTATATTTAGCTACAGAATTAAGAACTAAAGTATTTGTGTTTATCTGGTGAGTTTTGAATTGATTACGTGCCAGTTTTATTGAAAAGTCCACCACAACCGTCTAAGCACTTACTAAATGATGCTGGGTGTATTTTCCTAGGAGTCGATATTTTAAGTTGGCGCGGCGATGTGACCAGTGGTTTGTGTGGTACTTCACTATTTCCCTTTTAACTGGACTTTTCCAGTGCTTGATTCATGTGGTGATTTTTAGTACCCAAATATACTACCCTAACTGTTTGCGTAATAGTACAAAAAATAATGAATTTTCCTTCTCAGTGCAAAATACTAACGGAACACAATGATTTATCATCAGCGGATGTCTTCGCAGTGCTAACCCCTAGGAATCGGTGACTTCAAATATTTGATTTGCACGAAAGGGATTATTTTCCATGGCTACAATTTATAAATAATTGTTTACCGGTTTATTTTGTAAATACTTAATGTACTGAATTTAAGAAATGGCTGTTCCTATGCCAAAAGACGGACGATCACTTCAATATGGTAGCAGTCAGAAGTCGCGTTTTTCTCATAGAGAACTGGCGTTTTGAGACGTGAAGGTTAAGAAAGACCTGTCTCTTTGTGTTTTCTGTTCATATTTCCGCGTCCTTAGCTCAGGCAAGAGGAGGTAAAATTTCAATCTGAAAATCGCTCATTTGTTCGTCAAATGTGGAGTCAATTTTCCCATTATGTCAGTGCTGTTTGTTTTCAAAATCTTAAAGTGTTGCAGATACCAAGGGAAACAAGCTATCTGATTGTCTAGAAGAGTGCCTTTTTGATATTTTAGTTCGGTTTTCATATACTTTATATACAGTTATATATATATCAGTTATATAGAAAAATCAGACTTCAAGTTTTATATTATTATGGGTTAAAAGCTGTACAGCTCGCAGGTTATAGCTATTTCTGATGTGATGTAACCTCTACCTGTCGAATTCAAAATTGATTTGTAGATCAGGACGCCTATAGTTAAAAGGTCGTGGTTGTTTTGCAAGCTTTCGTTTCAACGGAACATTTCCTCGTACTCTTTCTGAAGCTCGCCTCGGGTTACTTCTAATTTTAACATCCGCGTGACAGTCCCCCGAGTCCCAGAATACATTCAATTACCTACATTAGAGCGTAGACTCTCTCAGGCAGTTTTCATAAAACGAAGTCTTTTATGGTAACTTGGCTCACTATCTGGTTTTATACAAACATCAGAGTGCTTTTGTACTT